ACAACGAAAATGGTGCGGCGGGATTTTCAGCGTTTTCTTTCTGTTACACTCAATAAATATATGAAAAATGTCAACCAATATTTATTGCCAGATAAAAGTAAGTTACACATTTGTGATGAGTAGGATAGGGTGTGCACAACCATACGCTCATCTAAAAACATTAGGAATAAATAAGTCAATGGGCGACAAAGTCAAAATGGGCTGCAATTAAACACAACTCAATTTCGTAAATGTGCCCTTCAGCTTAGCAACCAATCAGAATGAGGCGGGAATTATTATATCCGCCATCTTTGTATGCAATGGTGGTCGGCTTTCTTTGTTCTGTGCTTCTTGCAGCTATTTCTTTTATATGGCTATGTAATTTAATGTTTCAGTGTGCTAAAATGCAGAAGTTAATGTAATTTTCTAATTGTTGGAGCGAAATTTCCTTCTGATTTAGTTTTGTTTTCTGGATTTTTGCTGCTGCTGAGAAATTCATTGAATTTCTTCAGCCAAGCTGGTTCGTCTTATGTTCTAAAATGGTAGTCGGTTTTGTTTTGACTTGTTTTTTAGATATCCAAAGCCGGAGTTAGTTTCTCTAGCTAGAATAATTGTTGTTTTTGCCTGTGACTAACTGTCCGCATGTTCGTTCTTGACCTTCCTTTATGATGTTATCGGCAAAATGAAAGGAAACAATCTCCAGTTTTTAATTTTCTTCAGTATTATGGACAACACTATCCCACTAACGAGTCAAACTAATACTGATTGCCCAGCAGTAGGGGATACCAGTATTGTTTTCGAAAGAACTCAGACTTACGATAACCATAGACGAAGTCACAGATACTACCAATCTATTGAAGAGGGTTTGTTATTAATAATATGTCATATAGCAGTAATAGAGGGGTTGTACTAATTACGTAGTGCGTTAAAGCAAGCCTAACATTGAAAAGCCGGAAATCTGCTATCAGTGTGTAGTGTATGTTTGCTGTTTCGACCATAAAAGGAAGCCGAACGGTCATGATCAGGGAGTAAAAAGGTAATTAACTGTTATTAAGCTCACTTTTTTATAGATCATACTTCACCACTCGCAAATCTGTGTTTTTTACTGTATGACATCAACCGGTACCTAATATTTTCACCCTTACGATGGAAAATACCTGGAAATTCTCACCTTCATATTCGAATTATTTTTAGACAACTGTCTTCCAGTTTGATTGCTTCATACGCCCTGGGAGACTAGATTCCTACATTATTCGTAGTTCCAGTATAACAATCTCACGCAGTAAGTTCAAAGTAGACACTAGTCTTTCTACATAAGCCTGTTAAGCTAATATCCATATTCTCTATTTCAGTTAATCGATGAATACATGTACCACATGTATCTGTTGTATATTGCCATTTCACTCTAATTCTAACTGTTACATCTTTTAAAAAATAAATTTGTTATATGCTGCAAATATAGACTTATTTGTTTTGATGGTGATAGGGGGGTTCATGGGATTTTTAGCAGGACTGTAGTAATGTTTTCACTAAAGAGCTAAGCGAGTGCGTAGACCAATGTAAGGTACCACACAGGGTGCCTTTAAGTTACTCGTGTTCCATTAATGTGAATAGAGGCATTACTTGCTAATCATATGACATTTGAACAAGAAGCTATGAGATTAGACACGGAGACGGTTAGGATGTGTAACGCGTGTCCGTCTATCAGCTACCGTGACAACCCATGGTGGTTAGAATAAGTTGTGAGAGGACCCGAGTTTGTAGGTTTTCCAAGAAAATGACGAAGATATGTACTAAATCACCTTATGAAGAGCGCCTCCAATCACTTAGCCTTTACCCATTAGAGTATAGACGTCTATGAGGTGACCTTCTAATGACGTACAGTATCCTTAACACTTCTGGACATCCTCTTAAACACCTACTTAAACTTAGTTTCAACACTAACCTTAGGGGTAACACCCAGAAACTGTAGACACAACTTATACTCTTTAGGAGTTGTCAAGTGCTGGAATTCGCTTCCCGCCAAGCTACTGGATATATTCTTAAGGATAGAATCATACTATGATTTACCAATTTCTTTTCCCTCTTTTGCTGTTAATATACCTAGGTTCCTGCCTGGAGGTTTTGGTGATCGCCTGCTACTAGACACAGAAGCCTGTAGAGCGAAAGCATCTACTCAGTCCACAACCATTTGAACACATGAACTAGGTGCTGAGGATCGCTTATCACAAGTTTCTTGCAACGATCAAGTGGGTAAAACAAAGTACCATTAGATTCAAAAATTTATTCAAGAATTTTCATTAAGAATCAAATATCAAACAAAGGTTTAAACCAAGTTCCCGTTTAGAAGTTGTATTGGTAATGTTGAGCCGCAGTTTTTGTTGTTTTTCTCCAAATGAAAGAGTAAAAGAAGTCAAAAAATACTGGAGGTGGTTGTGAAACTAAAATGGACGTCCAGCATCCTTTTTATAATTTGCTGTTAGTTGAGTCTCCCGTAAACAGTTCCATAGAACCATAGTTCCAAGGGCGAAATAGTTCTTAGGATCTATGAAGGCTCACTCCTGTCGCATTCTAAATGAAAAAATAGTAATGAATTTAGTCAGAAATGTGGAATGGATAGATAGACAAATCACATGTTTTTCAGGAAAGAATTTATGCAGTTGCGATTTACCTTGAGTTCATGAATATTAGATAAGGTCAGCTACTATTACTTATGCAAAGCATAACATGGGCTTAGTACCGTATCGCAATGCTTTTATTATTTTGCTCCCATTTAAGTATTCCCATGCATCTGCGTCTAGTTTAACAGGAAGGCATACAAACAGAGTTAGTGTCTGATTAACTAAAAGTCCCAGTTGTCAAAAAAACTTAACATTTGTCCACAGCCAGCTGCATTTAATTGAGAACACTCATCTTCTAGGACTGTATACTGCTGTTTTGTGAGCAACTGAAAGCTCAGACGCTCAGCTATCTTGCTACCGATGTTATTGCTGGGAAAATTGTTTAATGGCAGTGATCATGAAATATGGTCAGTGATAGATGTACAATCTAGAAATAAAGAACAAACATACTTATATTATATACTTATCGCTATCTTATAATGTATGACAACAACAGCATCAAAGGCACATTTTTTCCTATTTTTAATCAGACTGATCTGAATCAGTATGTTCATTAGAAACAGGCAACTCTACTTACTAAACTGATCTGTTTCGTTACAGGCTTTAAGCACTTAAGAATATCATAATCCTTTCAACCAAACTGAACTATGTGACAACCAAGAATACTAAACTAAGCAAGTGTCATAGTTATTGTTCCATTTTCACAGACATGTTGCTTAAAGTAATTAAACGGACATAATTAAGACGATAAAACCAAAACACGAAATATAGGACAGTTGAACTTACCAAACAGAAGACAAAGGAAATATATATTGCTTTGATACTGAAGACAACAGGCAGTTGTTCATAAAAGCATAGTTTACAGTGCAACAAACATTTCTTCAGTAAAATCATGCATTGTCAGTCTATCTAGGAACAATCAACTATGTGAATAAACTCACTATGACTTGAGATATCATCCCAGCGTACAATGGACGTGCGATGTAACGCAGTCGGACGTGGCGAATAAAAATCAAAAACAGAGCAAAATTTGCTACATAATCTAGTTATTTAATTAAAAAACATTATGAAATGACAAAATCTGTGGTTACTTGAACGCACAAATGACAGTGTGCGATACAGTAAGTTTACATGGTTGCGTTGCGGATAAGATCACCCTCATAATGTGGTTTAGGAAGAATGAATAAATTAGCTTGTCGGAAGCTAGAATAAACCATGTAGGTTTAACAGCAACTGACGCTGCACAATCCTCCACAAACTTGTCGGCCTCATCAGTGTACTAGTTAACACATTATACGTAGTAACTGGAACGGATATTATGGCTTTTGTGTAAACAAGCGACATGTGATGCAGCGAACAATTTTTGGGGAGAATTTAATGGCAAATCAAATCCTAAATGACTAGTCTTTAAAGACTTCGAAATACTGTTCATGTTTCTATTTAGGGGCCGTTTGTCAAGCTACCGCACCAAACTACATTTAGGTAGGCTGTGCTGGGCGTCTCCTACGACAAATAGTCGGCATGGATCAAGTACTTTTAAAGGCTTTGACCATTTTTCAGTAAATATTCGAACCCCCTCATTCCTGTCTTCTGGTTTGCCCGGCCTCGAGATCTTCGATCCGAAAGGAGTTCAGACAACAGTGTCTTCCAGCACCGTATAAATTTATGGCATTGTTAAGATTATCACACACAAGTAACCTCGTAACAGAAAGGGACAAGTGAACAGGGCTGTACATAGGCCTGACTAGAATTTTCGGTCTAGTCAGGTTTGGCTGGCTACAACCAAAACGGAGATTTGGGAATTTAAGAATTTATTCCGAGGTTGACTGCGGAACTTCCAGTTATGATAAATGCTTCGTTAGTTGATGGACGCTCAGACGGTTGGATGCAAATATGTCCACCATAACGTACAGAGGTGAGGTCTGAGTTTTAAAAAAGCGTTCAGCCCCCAAACATCGGTTCAAATGTTGACTCACCTCCTAGACCATAAAAAAGTTAGCTACCTGTACAATTCCGGGAGTCTGTGGCCTGTCGTATGAAATGATACTTGGAAGCTATACTTGTTTACACTATCCGTCCGCAGATTGAGATTATTTTATTTTGAGGTATAGAGTACTAAGAAATGATTTTGGGTCAGTACAGTTCAGTAAACATAGCTGACGATTTCGCAGATCGTATATGTAAAATATCCTGGTGACACACAGGTTTTCTCACAGATTTACGAATTTTTTGGACGTACTACTTAGAGAAGTTGGTCCGATTGACATATCCTTGAGATTAAGCACTCATGAAAGCTTACTTGTATATATATCAAAAATGTCTTCTACATACTATCCTGGAGCCGAGCCAAACTCTGTTCGAAGAAGAAAAAGAACGTGTATTTTCTTGCTTTTTGTTATTGCGTGGTGTTAGGCGCGCCGTACAAATGTGTCCGGCACTATCGGGTTGCGAGGGTGAGTTATTTCAGGCGGTCTAGTGAGGACTTAGCTCATTGTTATTTGCTTCTGTATGGCGAATGAAATATTTTTAACATTTGCCTGCATGATTTACTGCTTTGCCTAACGACGTAATGCACGCGAAAAACTTAGCCAACTACTGCATTACAATGAACAGTTGTTCTCAATTCACAACACATTATTACCTCTAGATCTTTTTGTTTCTGAACTTCTGGAAGCCGTATCTTATTGGCGCTATTTGGCCAAGTATTGCGCTATGACCAGCATACCCTTTCTATAGTTAATCTTCAAACTAATCAGCCTAGATAGCAAGGTAATCAGTCTCATTACTCAATATACTCATGACTTTGACATCATCTGTAAAAAACAGTGTCTGTGACCTAGTGAGGCTTGATTACTAAGTGGCAGAAATAAAATTGATAGGAGACTTGAGGTGTTGTCTCAAGCCACATTACTGCGAGACTACAATTTATGGACGAACCGATCAGGTTTACGATAACAGGTCTTGCATTTTGGCGCGTAATTCATTCACCCATTTGGCTAAATAGAATCCTGGTATTATAGCGAATGTCAGTTCGTGATGAAAATTATGAATATAATTCCTGACCCCAACCATCAACTATAAATCATAATCCTTATTCTTAAAACTGCTTTATAACCCTCACTTAGCCCTAGTAAGTAGGTAGACACTCTCAAGGTCACTTTAACGTTGCTCAAATGTCTCTCATAAATTATAGTCTCACCGTTTAGTCCTGTGTGGTGCATGTTACTTCAAAAGTGAAAAACTTCGTATTTTGTGAGTGAAACACTATCGGATGCCTTGCTGAAATCGATGGATATCTTATCTGCAGACAATGCCGTATATTGTACCGTTGTCCATTGCATTTGTGTAATTATTCCGTACGTTCTCCAGTAGTAGGCTTCAGTCAGTGCTAATGTATATAACGTGAAATATGGTCAGGTCTTTTTTAGAGCATCACAAAATGTACTTGATTTATTCGAAGACGGTCACGTCTAAAACCAGCATGATTTTCTTGAGTTTAGTGTTCTTGCATCCCGACAGGCCATCTTATGTTCAAACGTTGTATATCGGTGCCAGGTCTTAGGTCGGATTAATTCGAATTCAGTATAATACCTTTGGGTAATATTTTAATATATATGGAGTCGCCAATGTAATGTGGTAAACTTTAATCATCACTTCAGTTGTTTCATATACATGTAATTAATACTAATCTCAAGTACAGTGGCTTTATTTCCCAAACCTGATTTCACAGGCGTGTATTAAGAATTGCACTATATATTTTTTTGTGAATTCCGATTACATACAAAAGCTTTTTGTTATGGGGACATTTCCATTCGCTTTAGAGATGAACAAGCTATTGCAGTCTATTTCTGACAAGCTCAAACATTTGGAATCAATTGCAACACCAGATGCAGTAAACTATGTTGAAGCATGCCTCAAAGTACAGAATAAACAGTTGTTGCACAGGATAAAGTCGTTAAAAGAATCGGTTATTCAGCAGGAGCTACTTCTTGGATGTTAGTTAAGTTAACTAATAAGTCTTTTTACAAATAGTAAATCAACAACAACTTCATCATTTACCCTCTGTTAAGGCTGTATCCAATGGTTCTAATTTGAATGGAAATTTACTGGAAATCGGACATTTGTCTGATAAAGGAGTAGTGCCGGAAGGTTAGTTTCTGTTCTTTCTCTCTATTGATCCACTTTTTACAATGGTATGATCCTTTATGTCAGAATGTGAAAAATGGGCTCGTTTAATTTCTAGTTCTTGATCCATATTTAGGTTTATTATATTAATAACTATCCTCGTAATATATAGTATTTAGCGTAATGTCACCGTTTTCCTCTAAACTGGTTTACTGTTACCGGGGCAATATTGGATATTGTTTGCTAAATAAGATCAGATACTTAGAGACGGTTACAACCTACAAAATGAATGTAAATATTGGGAATGAGACATTGTCAGTAAATACAAGTGTAGTAAGTTTCAATCACTGCCACTGATGACCTTTCTAATACTGCAGGTTTCAATAAATATTTTGTTATGGCTCGAACTAAAAAGCTATGTCTGTCTTGTTTGTTTTCACATTGCATTTTTCAAACAAGCCAGATGTAACTCCGTGGCCGAATGAAGTCGATGTTAGTTGTTCTTTTAATTTGTCTTGATTGTTTATTGAATACTAGTCTTTTTATTTGTATTTTAATAATGAGATATCTGTGCGTTAGTTTTCTTCATAGTATTTTTATTCTATGCTTCGCTGCCCCTTTTAGTACTGCATAATACTGATATAAAAATCTCTTCCGGAGCTAGTAATAGAACTTTTCATTTTGTGGTTTATTATAGCAGAGCAACCCAAACAGAAGACAGAGGTACAAACGGATCCAGTGAAAACTAAAAATCGGAACACCGAACGTAAAATACCAGATGGAAAACCACAATCTGCTGAAAAGCCTGTTGATATTGGTCGTCTGGATCTGCGTGTCGGTCGAATTATAGATGTAAATCGCCATCCTGATGCTGACTCTTTATACGTAGAGAAAGTATGTGGTTTACTATCTCACCTCTTTAAATCAGTATTCGTATTTTATATAAAGTGTTTAGTCTATCCAAGCTTTGTATTTTATAACCTAAAACGTGCTTTTCGCCATTTTATTCAGGTTGACTTGGGTGGAAATGAAATACGCACTGTTGTCAGTGGGTTGGTGAAATATCTACCTATCGAGTCACTTGAAAACCGAATTGGGATATTTCTCTGTAATCTCAAGCCAGCAAAAATGCGTGGTGTTGAATCAGAAGCAATGCTAATGTGTGCAAGCTCTCCAGATACATGTGGAGTAGAGCCTCTGATTGTTGAGGGCCCAGATATACAGTTAGGTGATTCAGTTGTGGTTCCTGGATATAGTCGTAAGTAAAAACTTTAGTTGTCCTTAGTCTTTCAAAAGAAAATTACATATCACACTTTAGTTGCTGATATTTTTGACATTATTTGGTTATATATCGTGCTTAAAATCATTCTGAGTGCAGTGACTTAGTGATTAATATTAACACGTTTTCGTTATCATAATTAGACCTAATCATTGAAGCATACATATTCGCAAATAGTATATATGTCTTTCTTAACACAAACATCTACTTCACATTCTTTAGGTTGTGGGTAATTCTTTAGAATCCAATGAGCTTCCGTTAGCGGCCTTAGACTGATTTGTATTGTGTATTTAGAACATTTAACTGATTAATTATGTGCTTTGTCGTATGTAATTGATGTTTGTAGATATATCCTAGTTTATTTGGACGAGTTATCTAAATTGTTTAAAACAAAATAAGTCAGACCACCACAGAATATGTGAAGTTCCGCTAAACCAAATCACAAACAGTCTGGTTTGTCTTAAAAATGACATTCTCGTCATACTAATTGTTTTACAACCTTTCGGACTGTTTTTTAAACTGACTAAGCTTATTCAGGAAAGATTTAATCAGAAGCAATGAGTCGCTTATTTTCAGTATATATGTCCTAATTCAGGCATCCTCAATCCAAGTAGTTCTATTCTATTCCTTTTTTCATCTGTGTGACTTTCGGAGTATAGTACTTAACTATGTTGGAAAACTTGACTCTCATATTTCTTATAGTGACTTAGAGGGAAGTTAGTGACACCCATTTCTCAAATGAACGTACTTTAACAATTTTAAATAAACGGGATGTATTCAATCTTAGAATACCTTTTTTTGATTATGCTGAACTACTATGTTTCTGTTAATTTCTGGACTGTCTTGATTTTATAAATTTTATTTGTAATTGACTGCTTAATCAGTTGGTTTTTCCGTTTTTTCAGACGATCCTGATGACCAACTTAATCCCAAAAAGAAAATTTTTGAACAAGTGAAACCAGATCTTAGAGTAAATGAAAACGGGATCGCTATGTATAAAAATGTTTCATGGACACTAAAAGGGTCTTCTCTTGCTGTGATTAAATCACTCAGGGTCAAAGACGCTCAAATAGCTTAGTCGCTTACTACACCCTTTTTAAAATATGCTAATAATTATATATAATGTTTTCGGGAATTATTTTTCTTGTTATAATCCAACTACTCGAAACTTCTGGAACATGAGTCATAAGTAAATCCTTTAGAATTTCAGGAAGATCCTCAGTAGCAAGTAGCTTTTGTCAAATGTTGCTTTTAAATTCGGTGATATACGTTTTAATTGATTCGATTTGGTTTAAAGCATACATTTTCAGCGATGTAATATTAACGAAGAGACATTGATGTGTCATAGTTCATTTCCAAATGAAATCCAATAGGGTTTTCGTTTTTGTGAGTTTTACACTACACTTCATTTACTCATTGAGTATCATCAGAGCAGTTACATGTCCACTATATTTCAGTTATTTAAAAATTCCTATAGAATGTTCATAAAAACATTTGGACGAAAAACTGCTTTCAGTAACATTTGTTGTAGATTAAAAACCTACAAGTATTGTGTTACAACGGATAACATACTAGGGAATGCACCTAAGTCTCCCATTGGTTTATTCGATATTATCAATTGAAAATAATAGGTTTTACACTGGTTGTCTCAAGTATTAGCGAAATACGTCGATAGTGAAGTTAAAACATCTCAAAAGTAAAAAAATCATTTTTCTACTTACCGTTAGCTTCTCAGTCCTAATCAGTAGTTCACAATCGCACGACAAAGTTGACACTTTCTAGGGGAGATGTATCATTAGTTACTGTAGCAATGATGATAGCAACAATTATCAATAGGTATATCATGTTACTTACCTAAGCCTGTCACCCCTCGTGGAGGAGCATAGGCCGCTCACCATCATTCTTCAACTCTGTCCTGAGCACTCCTTTCCAGTTACTATTCATATCTGCTTTCGATTCTCGGCGCGGCATGTTCTTTGGTTTTCCTCTTTTCCGTTTCCCTTCATGATGCAGTTTAATGATTTCCTCAATGTGTGTCTTGTCCACTTCCAGCATCTTCCCCTAATTTCCTCCTCATCTGTAGGCTTGTTTGTCCTCTCCCACAATATACTGTTGCTGATGGTATTCGGCCGACAGATACTGATTATCTTGCGTGGACAACTGTCTGTAAATACATGTACCTTTTTGATGATGTTTGTGGTAGATCTCGAAGTTTCACGTCTATACAGTAGGACTGTCTTGACGTTCATAATGAAGATTCTGACTTTGATATTGTTTGACGATTGTTTTGAGTTCCATATGTTCTTCAGTTGTAGGAATATGGCCCTCGCTTTGCCGATCCTCGCCGTCTGCATCGGGTCCTCCTTGTTCATCGGTGATGCTTCTCAGGTACGTGAAAGATTCCAGAGCTTCTCCATCAAATGTGATTCGGTTGCTGTCCTCCGTGTTGTATTTGAGGATTTTGGTTTTTCCCTTGTGTATGCTGAGGCCTCAATGGAGCATAGGCTGCCAACTAGCATTCTCTAACCCACTCTGTTCTGGGTTTTCCTTTCTAGTTCTACCCAATTTTTGTTCATTCTCACGTTTGTCTCCATTTCTCGGCGTAATGTGTTCTTTGGTCCTGAAGAGGGCTTGACTTGTTACGCAGTTTGGTACTTTCCTCAATTTGTGTCATATCCACTTCCAGCTGCTGTTCCTGATTTATTTCTCCGATGGGATCTGGTTTAGTCTCTCCCACAATAGGTTGTTGCTAATAGTGTCCGGCCAACGGATCCGAAGTATTTCGCGTAGACAACTGTTAATAAACACTTATCTTCTGGATGATTCCTTTCGTAGTTCCCCAAGTTTCCGTCCCATACAGTAGAACTGTCTCGACATTTGTATTAAAAATCCTGACCTTGATGCTGGTTGACAGTTGTTTTGAGTTCCAGATGTTCTTCAATTGTAAATATGCTGCTCTTGCTTTGCCGATCCGTGCATTCACATCTGCATCATACTCACCATTCTCATCAATGATACTGCCCAGATATGTAAAGGTTTTTACATCTTCCAAATCTCCGTTAAGTGTGATTCGATTGATGCGTCTAGTGTTGTATCGGAGAACTTCGCTTTTCTTTTTGTGTATGTTGAAACCTACTGCTGCTACACTGGTTGTCTTCTCCTGCATTTGTTGTTGCGTGTGCGATAGAAGAGCCAGATCATCTGCGAAGTCTTGATCATCCAGCTTCATCCTAGCTGTTCACTGTATCTCATTCTTCTCCCCCAGATGTTGACGTCTCCATAATCCAGTCGATCACCAGGCGAAAGAGAAAGGGTGAGAGTAAGCAACCTGGCTTGACACCGGTCTTCACTTCGAACGAGTCTGTCAACTGTCCTGCATGCACGATTTTGCAGTTTAATCCATCATAGGAATTCTGTATGATGTTGACTATTTTCTCAGGCACGCCGTAGAGTTGAAGAAACCTGCATAGTGTTGTCCTGTCCATGCTATCAAATGATTTTTCATAGTCAATAAAGTTGATGTAGAGTGATGAATTCCATTCAATTGATTGTTCCACAATGATCCGTAGAGTTGAGATCCTCACGGAATCCAGCTTGTTGATCTCGAAGTTGGGCGTCTACGGAGTCCTTTATCCTGTTTAACAATACCCTGTTGAAGACTTTTCCTGGTATTGAGAGAAGAGTGATGCCCCTGTAGTTATCACACTTGCTGAGATCACCTTTCTTCGGTATTTTGATCAGAAGTCCTTCTTTTCAGTCTGTTGGTACTTGTTCCTCATCCCAAATCTTACTGAAGAGAATGTGGAATATTCTTGCAGTTATTGCTTTCAGTGTCAGTTGCTCTCTATTTCTGACTTCAGATCATCAGCTGGTATATTGTCAGGTTCTGTTGCTTTCCATCCATTGATTTATCTGATGGCCGATCAAATTTTCCGTCGTTAGTGGAGTGTCATCTCTATGTACTGCTTCGATGTTCAGTGGATTCAATGGAGCTGGTCTATTCAAGACTTCCTCGAAGTATTCTACCCATCTGTCCTTCAATCTTGGTGGTTGTCTTCCTTCAGGGTCCTTGACCGGTCTCTCTGGTTTGCTGTCTTGTTCATCCTTCCTTGAATCATGTCCAGGGTTTCGATAGATATCTATTTATTATGATGATGCCTCTTGCGGACCAGCACCTTTTGACACGTTGAAGTCAGCATTTCTTCAATCCCTTTCTACTTGACCTCTTTAGTTTCTTTCAGCAGATCGTGTAGGGCTTGGAACCTGTTGTTGAGAATTATCTTGAATTCGTTGGGTTTTCAAGTTTCTCGTAGGAACGCTGTACCGAACCTTTGGAATGTTTCTCTAACTTCGCCTGAAGCCCCTCTGGAGCCATTGCCGTCTTCGAGCCCGGATAAAGGAGAAGGGTTGGGCATGGGATTAGCGACTATATCCCGTAGAAAACTAACTGGCTAAAAAGTCGCTAACCAGAAAAAAAAAGTTTCTCTAGTTGTCCACCACCAGGTGGTGGTCTGAAGCCATATCATTCTCTCTCCGGGTTTCTACGTGTTCCATTGATCTGAATATTTTAGTGATGCAAATTTCCTGTAGTGTGATCCGATTGAACCCGTGTGTCTTTGTGTATGTGTTTGTGTACGAAGGTACTGACGCCTATAACCAACTTGTTGAATGCACATAGGTTTACAAATCGGTCACCATTCTCGTTTCTTTCTCCATATCATGCCATGATATCTTCATAACCGTTGGTGTCCACTCCGACTTTGGCGTATAGTTCTATCATCAGGAAGTAAGATCCCTTCCTGGGCACTTCTGTATGACCGATTGCTGCTTCTCGTGGAACTGGTCTCTGTCGTCGTCATCGCTATCATTGGTGGGCGCATAAAATTGGATAATATCCATTGTAATCCTTTCGTTTTCTCTATGTTTGAAGCGTTTACGAGTTCACGTAGTCTGCGAACGGAACACAAACATGTAACCAGAGACCAATATACTAGCTATTCTAATGCATCTTAGCCCCACTAACTAGAGAGAGAAGTCAAAGTCCGAACGGGGAAGTATAATCCGCAGAAACACGTGAGATGACGACAGACACAAATCAAAGCGTATGTATACAGCACAAAATCGTTCCTGGAGAGAGTTACAAAATAGCATACTAAAAGACACAACGGACCAATAGCGTCTGGGATCCCCCTAGTTGGAAATACAACATGAAGGTCAGAAGAGCACTTTTGACGCGAAAACAAAGAAATTTCAATTTGCAGAATAAAATTACAAAAATTAGGGCCTTTTTTAGTGCGTTCTAGGGACCTAGCGTCCCCAACAGTTTTGAAGATTATTTTGATATTCCTGGATCCCTTAGCTTCTTTGGACAGCATCATAGGAAATCTCTGAGTTTGTGGAGCAGTTTATTCTTTGTGACCAGAGTACAAAAATATCTCCCGAATCTATCCTTTCGCTTTCGTGTCAACTTCCACAAATTCTAGAATTTTCACCATCAGATTTTAAAGGTTTCGTAATTAGAAAGTTCCATACACTCGACATAACTACCTATACTATATACAAGTCATCTAAGTTTGTGATCTCCGTAAGTCATAAAGCGTCATTTCAGAGAGGTTGGATTATCTTTCAATCAATTGAATCTTCATTCCACTACAGTCGGTGAATCAGAGTATTGAAGATACAACCAACTGCCATTTCGTGTAATGGAAGATAAATTTAGATTTGAAGTGATGTTCCATGAAATGATACGCCAAAATTATCAGTTCATATGCATCATTCGTAAAATAAGAAAAAAGGAAAATAAAACGACACTATTAAGAATCGGCTACAAATCTAATTGGATGATAGCTTAGTTTCTCGAATTTAAGTACTGAATTCTGTGCAGGAATCTATACAACCATGAAAATATTTAACATATGAGGCGAAAGCTACCGATACGTATGATGCCGTACATACAGTCTGTAAAAATCTGAAATGACTTACGCAGTCATTCTGATCTCATACTGTCAACGCTATAAAATTCCTCTTTCTCTTATAAACGCCAGTCATAATCTGAATATTAAAATAAGGTTACCTAGTGTGAGTTTGTACTTGGCAAATCTCTCATGCAATGAATTGCATTCACAAGGATATGTCTTC